ACTCCTACTAATATTCAACATGCTGTTGGATATTCTAGCAACTATAATACATCAAGAAAAGGAAATAAAAGTCACACAACTCAAAGGATAATCATCCTTATTTAAAGATGAAGTAAGTATATATACCAAGTTAGGCACAGTGGTGCATGCCTGAGTCCCAGCTACTTGGGAGGTTAAGGCAGGAGAACTGTTTGAGTCCTGGAGCTTAAGGCCAGCCTGGACAACACAACAGGACCTCATCTCAAAAGAAAACCTCAAATAATCTACAAAAAGATGAGCTAATGGTGACAGGATACACATAAATGTTAAAAAATCAGATGTATTTCTACATTGTAAAGATATTTCTATGTTCTATAACACTGACAATAAAATTGGAGGTACAATGCCATCTACAATCACTCTTAAAAAACAAAATATTTCGGCGAAAGGACATCTTTGTTGAAAATTATTTAACACAGTGAACACACAATCAAAGATCTAAATGAAATGGAGAAACATACAATGTTCATAGGCAAAAAAAAAACTCAAAGATGTCAATTTTCCTCAAACCAATATGCAGACAAAATTTCTATTAAATTCTCAAAAAGATTTCTGTATCCTATTTTGTTCATTATTCCAAAGCTTAAGTAGAAAAACAAAATAACCAGAAGGAATAAAAACAATTTTGAAAAAGAATGAAGTGACAGTAATCATTCTACACAAAGATTAATTATGCAGCTGGGCATGGTGGCACATGCCTATAATCCCAGCTGCTGACAAGGCTGAGGCAGGAGGATCACAAACTCAAAACCAGCCTCAGCAATGTTAAGTGAGGCCCTAAGCAACTCAGCAAGACCCTATCTCAAAATAAAAAATGTAAATAGGCTGGTGATATGACTCAGTGGTTTAACACTTAGGTTCAATCTCTGGTACCAAAAAAAAAAAGATTATGCAAAAACCTGAACTTTATGTCTCACACTGCAAAGTTTAATATACACTGTACATACACTATACATTCCATACACTGTACTTTCCAACAAAGTTTTGGCCCTTGCCCAGCTCTTAAAAGGTAATCTCTAAACTCTTGGAATATTCTGCCTAGTAAGTATGTCTTTGTGTACCTTGGAGGTCTTAGGTCACTCCATACAGTTTATGCTAATAATGGGATTTATGGAAGGTTCCTAAAAGCAACTGACATTAGCATGACTGTTTAATTTTAGAGCTGGTGACCAAGGTCATGGATGCAGATAGTCAACCATGCCCTATATAACCAACCTACCAAACAAACAAACAAAACAAACTCTGGACACAAAGACTGAGTGAATCTATCTGGTCAGCAATACTCCACATGTGTCATCCACATCATTGCTGGAAAAATTAAACACTATCCACATAACTCCACAATGAGAAGCTACTTAGAGCCACAAGTGTAACAATTTTTCTGTTTTGATTTCTTTTAGCAAATTAGTTGAGTATAAAGAGGACTTACAGATTCTTAAACACACACACACACTTAAAATGAATCATGGACTTAAATACAAAACATTAAATGATCAAACACAAGAAAAAATGAGAAAACTGTCAACTTGAGAAAAAATGAGAAAACCTTCAAGAACTAGGATTAGGGAAAGAGTTCTTAAATTTGACATTAAAAAACATAATCCCTTAAGAAGAAAAAATTGGTAAACTGGACTTCAAATTTTAAAACTTGTACTCTGAAAAGGATACTGTTAAGAAGATAAAAGACAAATTATGCAATGGAAGAAAAAATCACAAATAATACATCCAACAAGTGATTAGCATTTAAAATAAAGAACCTCAAAAAAAAAAATTCAAGCTGGCATTTAAGTACCTTGGATGGAAGGCATTATTCAATCCTAAACAAGCAAAAAGCTGAACAAACTATAAAGGGAACAAGTCTTTTTAGATCTCAAAAAGAATTGAGGTCACAAGGCAAAATGCTCCCAAATAAAAACAACAGGTAAGCACAGAATCACAACTTATTGCAGGAAAAAACACTCACAATGAAGCCTACATGGAAACCAGGACCTGATAATAAAACCTAAATTGTAACTGACAAATTGCTGGAGTTCAGTGTGGACAACTCTGAGAAATAAAAATTCCAACGTAACCCTATCACAGGAAGACCACCACACTTGTGAGATTTTACTATCTGGAGTTTGATCTGGTTCTCACAGTGAATATCAGAGAAAAATCCCTTCATGCTTCCAACAGGGGATGGAGAAAGGAACCATTTTGAAATACAGCAGAGAGTTTCATTCTTCTTATGAGGATCTGCTATTCCCACTCAAAATGATGAAAATTTGCAAAATTAAAAATTTTTAAAAATAAATCCTGAGAAGCACTTACAAAGATCACAGCCCAGGGCACAGACTTACCAAAACTCTGAAACCTAATCATAAAACTATAAAACATTTCTCTCTTCATACCTTACTACCATTACATTGCCAAAGAATCATTTACCATAGTTCATATTACCCAGCATGTTATGATACCTTGCAAAAATACAAATAAAAAAGAAAAATAAATAATAAGACATACTACAAGGCAAAACATATAGTTTGAAGAAACAAACTAGACTGAGATATGGCAAGGATATTGACCCAGTAGTTTAAAACAACTATGATTAATATGCAAAGCACTCTTATGGGCAAAGTAAATAGCATGCAAGAATAAAGAAAGAATCAAAAAGACTCTAATACAAATGAAGATGCCTTTGATGGGCTCAGTAGTAGAATAGGACCAGCTAAGCAAAGAATCTCTGAGCTTGACAATATGTGGACAGAAACTTCTAAAATTAAAAACAGAGAAAAAAACTTAAAAATGTAACAGAATACCCAAGAAGTATGGCACAACTACACCCTTTACAAAAAAAAAACTCAGACATAAAACAACACAAAACTAGAAAACTCACAGTAAAAATTGAATTGACTTTGTCTATAAAAATTACATTTTAGATCACATCCTTGAGACATGTTCCACAAAAGAAATAATTAATAAGCTGAATTTCATTAAAATTAAAACCTTCTGCTGGGCAAAAGACAATGGACAATGGCAAAAATATGAGAAGACAAGCCACAGACTAGGAGAAAATGTTTGCAAAAGATACATTTGATGAAGGACTGTTAACCAAAATGGAAAAAGAACCCTTAAAACTTAGTAAGAAAACAAACAATACAATTTAAAAATGGGCTAAAGACCTTAAAAGATGCCTCACTTTAACAGATATAGAGATGACAAATAAGCAGATAAAGTGCTCCACATAATGTACCAGTAAAATTCAAATTAAAATAATAAAATTCTACTGTACAACTATGAGAAAAGAAAAAATCCAGAAAATTAAAACACCAAACGCTGGGTAGGATGTGAAGCAACAGAATTCTCATTTATTGCTAGTGGAAATGCAAAATAACATAGCCACTTTGAAAGATAGTTTGGCAGTTTCTTACAGAATTAAACATACTCCTACTGATGCAGCAATCCCGCTCCTTGGTATTGACCCAAAGAAGCTGAAAACTGATATTTACACAAAAATATGTATATGGGTATTTATAGCAGCTTTACTCATAAGTGCCAAAAGCATATTACTATATGAATGAAGCAATCTGAAAAAGCTATATTATACAATTTCAACTATGTAACATTCTGGAGAAAGAAAAACTATAGAGACGAACAAACAACAACAACAAAAACAGTGACTACTAGGGTGAGGCAGGGGACAAAAGATGAAGGCAGAGTATAGAAGATGCTTAAGGCAGTGAAACTATTCTGTATTACATACGATAGTGGACACATGTTTTTATAAACTTGTCCAAACTCAGAGAACATACACCAAGAGTAAACTGTTAACCACAGATTCTTCAGATATCAATGTAAGTTCATCAATTTAATAAATGTACCACTCTGGTGGGAGATGCTGATATTTGGGGAGGCTGTACCTGTGTGAAGATGGGAATACATAGAGAAAATCTGTACCTTCAATAAATTTTTCTACTGCTCTAAAAACACTGCTCTAAAAATAAGTCTATTTTTTAAAAAATGATATCTCACTACCACAATGATATATCACTATATTCCTACGAGAATGGCTAAAATTTGAAAAATGTCAAATTCTAGAAAGGATATAGAGAAAACTAGATCATTGATATATATACATTATTGATGAAAATGATAGTGAAAATAATGTGATTGGTAATTTTGAAACTAAACCTACAACTACTACAGAAACCAATAACTGCACTTCTGAGCATTAACCACAGAGAAAAGACCTGTTTTATAACAAAACCTCTATGTACAATGTTTACAGCTTTTTTCATAACAGTCCAAAACTGGAAACAACTCAGTTTTTCAATGGGTTAATAATTAAAGTGTGGTCTCTCTAATACCACCCCCACCATTGGTAAATATTACTCATCAATAAAAAGGAATGAACTATTGATACACACAACAACCTAGATAAATCTCCAGAGAAAACGGCCAATTCCAAAAGGTTATTGCTATGTGTATGATTCCAACTACATACAGCCTTCTTGAAATTACAAAATTATAAATGGAAAATTGGTTATTGCTTTCCAAGAGTTAAATGAGAATGGAGTGGGTAGAGAGAGAAGTGATTGTAGGCAACATTTGGTATATGGAAACATTCTGTATCTTGATTGTATCCGTGTCATTATCCTGGTTGTGATACTATAACATCTTGTAAGATATTCCCTGGTGAAAAATGGAGAATGGATACATGGAATCTCTATATTATTTCTTAAAATATTATTTCTTAAAACTCATGTAATCCTACAATTATATAAGAATAAAATGTTAAGAAAAGGAAGAAAAATGTGCAATATGACAAGACAGACAATTTAACTTGATATACAGCAACAATGAGTATTATTAAACACATACTATTATTTTAGTTTGGAACAATAAGATATATCCCTTGAATAGTCGCAATTCACAACCAATCTCCACAAATTCATATCTAAATACTAATAATTTTAGCTTACCTTCCACACTGTCAGAACAGGAAGTTCCAATGCCAGTGTCTCCACTGTCAGAAGCTATACTGTGTCTCCTGATATGGTTATTTCGATGGTTAGATGGAACAGTTGTGGCCTGCCACAATGATTCATTACCAGGTAACCATGCTGATGAATAATAATCTGGGCCTATAAAGGAAAAAATGCATAATTAACACATGTAATATCATGTCTGAAGAGATAACAGTTTTGTTTTACTTTGCAAAAAAATACACATGGGATAAAATAGGGTTTTTTCTACTCAAAATAAAAATAATCAATGAGCTCTAAATTTGCCAGGAAAACTTTACATATCACACACATATCAATTCAATGCTAATTCTGCAGTTTCCTCTGGTTGAAGAACTCTGTATTCTACTGGGTATTGATTTTTTTTTTTTTTTTTTTTTTTTTTTTGGTACCAGGAATTGATTCCAGGGGCACTTAGCCATATATCCCCAGCCCGTTACTCTGTTTATTTTAAGACAGGGTCACACTAAGTTGCTTAGGGCCTTACTAAATTGCTGAGAATGGCTTTGAACTTGGGTTCCTCCTGTCTCAGTCTCCTGAGCTGCTGGATTACAGTCATGTGCTACCACACACCTCGCCTATGTATTGAACTTTTAACCATGTACAGATATCTTTTAAAAATGTTAAATCTATCTATATCCAGGTACAGAACTTTTAAACATGTAAACATGTATAGTTGTCCTATTAAAAATGTTAAATCTATCTTCAAATGTCAGCCCTCTGATCAGGAATTATCGTAAGACATCTGTGATTCCATATACAGGCACTAGCTGTGAAATTGGAGTTCAGGGAAAGTCTAATTAATCATATTACATGACATTAAAAGTAAGAATGTGCTCATCATGGAAGATAAAAAGTAAATTTTTTCCTACTATAACATAATCACTTAAAATTTTAAATTATTTTGTAACCCTTTAAATTGACTTTATTTATCTTTTGCTAAAAGATTAACAGCACAGTATTTTCCTACTTATCTCAATTTGTCTTTTTGAATTACACTGAATCTCTATTTTGTTAGCTAATTTATGTCTTTTCAAAGTTTATTTTCATTTGTACATTTTTTACTTTTATTTAGCATTTTTCTGTTTTACCCATTCTTCTATTTACTTCATTATTCTACTGTCTTCTATAATACTACTCAAAGCAGTGCCAGTACAAACAAGTTATGTACAGAACTAAGCAATGTGTCGAAATCCCAGTGACTCAGGAGGCTGACAGGAAGATCATAAGTTCAAGGCCAGCCTAGGCAATTTATTGAGACCCCTAGCAACTCGTGGAAACCCTGCCTCAAAATAAAAAGGATTATAGATTGTAGTTCAGTTAAGCACCCAGGGGTTCAATCCCTAGAAAAGAAAGAAGACAGAAAGAGGGTGGGGAGGGGAGGGATAAGAAAATAAGGAGCAAGTACACAGAAGTTTTTTTTTTTTTAATAATAATTAGAACAATTTAAAATCTGTTTGATTTAATATAAATGTTGTAGAAACACCTATCTTTGCTGATACCTAACACAGTAATTCTCAAATTGGAGCTACAGACTTACTCCAGGAACTTAACAAGTTCTCTATAAGAATGTTAGGTTTTCATTTCAATGATAATCCTTAAAAATCCTAATAAACACATTATACATTATTTGAACAGCCACCTTTAAAATGAATAATAATCTGGGCATAATTTCTACACTGCTTTATCTATATAGCTACCTTAAAACAGATTTGTTATCATCTATCTTAATGCTCCCATTTGTGTTTTATGTTTTCAACTGTACATAAAGAGCAAATGATATCACTCAGCACTTTTAATTTGAAATGAAAAAGTTTTACAGAATTATCAAGAAACATCCTATTGGAATTGGCACAGGGGCTGGGGATATAGCTCAGTTGGTAGAGTATTTGCCTTGCAAGTTCAAGGCCCTGGGTTCAATCACCAACACCACACACACACACACACACACACACACACACAAACACACACACACACACACACACACACACACAAAAGAAAGAAACCGGCACAGAAAGAAGGCCTTCTAACAGTTTAAATATAAGGATCACAAAATGACTATGTCGTGTGCATAAAATTAATTACACTATTTTTTACCACACTTTTAGAAATAGTCACCCTCTAATATTAAAATCAAAATACAGCCAGGCACAGTGTCATATGCCTGTAATCCCAGTGGCTCCAGAGACTGAAGCAGGAGGTTCCTTAGTTCAAATCCAGCCTCAGCAATTTAGCAATTAAGCAACTCAATGAGACCCCGTCTCTAATAAAATACAAAACAGGGCTGGAGATGTGGCTCAGTGGAGTGCCCGAGTTCAATCCCCAGTATCAAAAAAAAAAAAAAAATCAAAATACACAAATTAAAAACTATACTTAGTACTACTTCTATAATATCATTCCTGACAAAATATTTTAATAAAAATTATGCCATGTAAATATTATCTTGAAGTTTTATTCATATATAATTTATGAATTAAATTTGGGTTTTATAGGCTTATGAAGTACATGAGCAAAAAGCCACATACATTTAAAATAAGAACTCAAAATTGGCTGAAGAGACATTTACACCCACTTTATGTTCCAGAACAGCCACTTTACACTTTGTAGATTCTAGGCCTTTCTCAGAATGAGAAAATTTATCTGAGTAAATACTCCCACAAAATACCAAATGAAAGTAGTCCGTCACCAGATCTTTTCTAACTCTGATCTGGATGAGGCCTATGATCTGTACTAAAAAGCTTACTTCAATCAGGTAATATTTCATCTATATAAACTCATAGTCCTCTCTACAACATTTTCAAAAGAGATAACCAGGGGCTGGGGATATAACTCAGTTGGTACTGTGCTTGCCTCACATGCACAAGGCTGTGGGTTCAATCCCCAGCACCAGTAAAAAAGGAGAGACAGCCAGTCCACGTCTTTTCTCACAAGGGACATACCCAGCAATCAATATATATAGGCTACTAGACATATAAATGGAAAATAAAATTTAAAAAAATGTTCAGTCTCACTAATAATGAGGTAAGTAGAAAAGAGGATACAGCTTTAGGATTTTTTTAAGTTACCACATTAATATCTGAAAGATGGGTGTCATCAAAGTGAGGAGAATGTTTATACACTTTTGTAGCCATATGAATTGGTTCAACCTTTCTAAAGATCAATCCAAAATTCGGTAACTAAATTTCAACATAAACAAATTCTTCTACTAGGAATTTATCCTAAAAACATATTAAGTAAATATTAAAAAAAAAAGTCCAAGGACATTCCCAACAGCCTAAAATAAATGCCCCAAAACTATCTACTTACCTTAAAACTGGTTGATAATGCTCAAGTGCTAAAAATTATTTTACCAACCTGTTTATTTGTTCTTTTTAGATATTCACATGACTGTAGGATGTACCAATCTATTTTTTTTTAACATGAAGGATATCCAAATATAAAAAATACATACAGGAAAAAAAACTGGCATAGCTAAATATATAAGAAGATTCTATGGTTGGTGAAGAGGTTGTACATTTACATACGCTGCTTGAAAAAAGGAGCTTTCAGGGAGCTCCACACCTAAATGTTAACACTTGACTACAAGGTTTTGCTAAAGGAACAAATATATTATGCAGACGTTCATTCCATCATTAGTTGTTATTATTATTACTGACAGTCTTCATTTTATCAGTTATGGGGGGACATGTTGAAAATTATGATGATTGGCTCACAGCGGCCCCAGCAACTTCTAGCTGATTGGCTCCTCTGCGGTGATGCTTATTGAGCTGTTTCCCAGCCCTTTCAGACTGCCAGCTGATGATTGGCTCACAGCGGCCCCAGCAACTTCTAGCTGATTGGCTCCTCTGCGGTGATGCTCATTGGGCTGTTTCCCCGCCCTTTCAGACTATGGAGCTGCTCATTGGGGGACTTTTTTGGCTCCGCCCACGCAACCCAGCCAATCGGCCTCAAGAGCAGGAGGAGTGGGGGAGGTTGACAGGCTTGTGGGAAGCCGGTGGTGGCAGTTGGGCTCTGAAGGTTTTTCCTGAGGAGCTGTTTTGTTTGGCCTGTGTGGTTCTAAAAATAAAGTTCGTTTCTTTTGACAAGTGGCTCCTGAATTGTGCCCAGCCAGACTGCGCCAATTTTCCAATTATATCAACATTTATTCTGAGATTAGGAACCAGCTATAGATCAAAATATACAAATTAAATAGATTCCTAATAAAAAATTTTTACAAAACTACATAAAACCACTAAATAAATTCTTCTTTTTAGACAATGTAACTACTTTGAGCAATATAAAGTTATGCTATGCTTTAACCCACAACACACCTCCACCTCATTTATCTTTTTCGTATGAAACTCTTGGATAATGTCAAATATGCATCACAGTTAATTTTATGTGTCAACTTGAGTGAGCTATGGAGAGACCAGATATTTGGACAAACATTTATATAAGGGCTCTTGGATGAGATTAATGCTTAAATAGTAGACGGGGTAAATCAGACTGCCCTTTATAATGCCATTGCTTCCTTCCATCAGTTGAAGGCCTGAGTAGGAAAAAAAAAAAAAAAAAAAAAAAGGCCTGCCTGATGTCCTATGAATTAAAACACTGGCTTTTCCTGCATTCAGACTTGAACTGAAACATAGGCTCTTCCTAAATGTTGAGCCTGCCAGTCTTCAGACTATAAATATACCATTGCAAAATCTAGGCCATCTTGCCAACTTTGTCCACTTTCATAACTCACAAGCTACGTTCTTATAATTATATACTACTGATTCTGTTTCTCTAGAGAACCCTAAATACAACAATGGGGAACTAGGCAAATTCAAACTTTACCTGCAGACATAGAAGTGGGGATATAGTTTTCTCTGTAGAAGAGAACATTGGTCACAGTCCTCTATTTTCCTCATAGTAGCTCAATATTGTCTACTTCATACGACACCTACACAAAAGGTCTTCAAGTTTATGGGTACAAGCTCAATTATCTGTTATCTATCTCCCAATAAAAAGCTATATAAAAGAAATTACATAAAATAAATGGTCTACCACTGCATCCCTCTAGAAACTCAATTCTATCTTTGGATTACAGAATATAGGTGCTCCTTGACCTGTGATGGATTGCATCCTAAAAAACTCAG